GTTGAGGAAGCATGTGCTCGAATAACGCCGATGAACGCCATTGCCATTACGGAGGAAGACGTGGTTGCCGCGATCCGTCGGGCTCCGAACTGGAAAAGTCCGGGGATCGACGGATTGCAGCACTACTGGTTAAAGGCGTTCTCGGCCAGCCATGCGACCTTAGCCGTGCAATTCCAGAGTGCCCTCGAAAACAGGACGCTCCCGAACTTCCTTACAACCGGGATCACTCATTTAGCTCCTAAGACGGACGATACCGCGGATCCATCTAAATATCGCCCCATCACTTGTCTTACGACAATATATAAGACGTTAACATCCGTTCTGAGCGCTAAGATCTCTCGTCATGTGTACGAGAATAAGATCCTATCTGGCGCTCAGAACGGATGCAGGGGCGGTAGCCGCGGATCGAAGGAGCTGCTCCTCATTGATGCTGTCGCTGGCCACGTGGTCAAGCGGAACCGTCGGAATTTCTCCGCCGCCTGGATAGATTATAAAAAGGCGTTCGATTCCGTGCCCCATTCATGGCTCCGGAGGATACTCGAGCTGTACAAGATCGACGGTACAGTTCGAGTGTTCTTGGAGGCATGCATGGGGCAGTGGACGACGATCCTGACTATCCAGGGCGAGCGATTGACGGATACCGCTGACCGGATAGAGATAAAGAGAGGAATATTCCAGGGCGATTGTTTGAGTCCACTTTGGTTTTGCCTGTCCCTGAATCCACTCAGTACTTTACTGGAGAATTCGGGGACTGGATTTCAGTATCGGAGAGGAGGTACACGAGTGTCTCACCTTCTGTACATGGATGACTTGAAACTGCTAGCTCCGAGCATCGAACGCCTGACGGAGCTGCTAAATATCGTAAACGATTATAGCAGCTCTATTAGGATGGCGCTCGGAATAGACAAGTGCGCGGTCCTCCATGTGCAGAGGGGACGGGTCACTCAAACTGAAGGGATCGCCACAGATCCCTCTAATATTAAAACCCTCTCCGAGGCTGAAACATACCGGTATCTGGGCATGTCACAAAACATCGGTGTGAAGGAGACGGATATGAAACAGTCAGTCCGCGAGGAATTTTTTGCGCGCCTTACAAGAGTACTGAAAAGTTCTTTGTCGGGCGCCAATAAAATCCGAGCTTATAACGGCTGGGTCATACCCGTACTCCTTTACACTTTTGGCGTGCTCAGATGGTCTCAAACCGAACTCGAAGCCCTGGATCGGAAAGTCCGCACAACTATGACCCTCCATAGAATGCATCACCCGAAATCGTCAGTCATGAGGCTGTATATCCCGCGGAAAGCTGGTGGTCGAGGCTTGTTAAGCGTTAAGACCATGCACAACCGCGAGATTGACAGCCTCAGGACATATTTTCTGGAGAAAAGAGACGAGGGTTTGCATAGAGAGGTCATAGAATGTGACAAAGGATTCACCCCTCTTTCTCTGGCTAAAGAGGACTGGCGAAAACCCGAAGTCTTGGGTACCTCTCAGCGGGAGGCCGTATGGAAAGAGAAGGAGTTGCACGGAAGGTTCTTCAAAGCCCTTCACGGGCCGTACGTAAACACGAAGACCTCCGTGCACTGGCTACAGTTCGGTGATCTCTTCGGAGAGACCGAGGGTTTTGTCTGTGCAATACAGGATCAGGTGGTTAAGACGAACAATTACCGAAAGCACATTCTGAAGGATGGCACTGAGGACATCTGTCGAGCATGTCGCCATCCCGGAGAGTCACTCAGACATGTGCTTTCGGGTTGTTCAGCTCTTGCCAACACAGAGTACTTGCACAGGCACAACCAGGTAGCCAAAATACTCCATCAAGAGCTAGCTCTGAAGTACGGCCTCGCGAATGAGAGGTTGCCGTACTATAAGTACGAGCCACAGCCGGTCCTCGAAAGCGACAGCGTCAGGCTCTACTGGGACCGATCCATCATCACGGACAGGACTGTTCTTGCGAACAAACCTGATATCGTGGTGATGGACCGGGCACTTTCGAGGGTGTTTTTGGTGGATGTCACCATACCGCATGACGAGAACCTCGTGAAAGCCGAAACCGAGAAGAAGAGAAAATATCTCGACCTGGCTCACGAGGTGACCGAAATGTGGGGGGTGACATCTACCGAAATCATCCCAATCGTTATGTCGGTGAACGGTCTTATCCCAACCAGTCTGGAACAACATCTCAGACGGTTGGGATTCCGAGGCGGCTTACTCCCGGGAAAGATGCAGAAAGCGGTGCTCTTAGATTCTGCCCGCATTGTACGCCGGTTTCTCTCCCTGGGGCCCTGAACCCCGGCCGACTGTGCTTCTGCCGGGGGTTAGTTGCCATCTCCTCTCCTTAAGAGGGGAGATGAGAATTTTGGTAAAATTTAAAAATAATAATAATAAAGCCTTTTATTTATTTCTACATTCCTAATATATTTACAGTATTGTAAGTATCTAATCTGTTTAAATTTTTCCTAATAACTAATTGTTAGTGTAATTCTTTGATTCTTGGATATGGACCCCTCTGTGGGTGAAGGCCTCCTCCATCTTTCTCCACAACTCTCTGTTTCTGCCTATCATAAACCAGTCTTTTCCTGTATATTCTGTTATATCATCAGTCCACCGTCCACCTATAACACATATAACCAATATTAAATATAATACAATATTAATGCACATGCCTATTAAAGGTATTCATTACTGCCCTCAAATGCTTGCTGCTTTTACCTAATGGTGAGTTGGTAGAGAATGCCATATGGTATTAAACTCACCATTGGTAAGCGCAGGTGGGGTTTCCAATTCATTATTACCCATAAAAAAAATTAAAATCAGAACATATATTCATATTCACTATACGAAGTCTTTTTTTAATGGATGATAATGGAATGGTAACCCCGCCTGCGCTATCGGTATACACTAGCGGGGCACCAGTGAGATGACGAGTGTGGTTTCCAGGGAGGACCACGTGGAGGTCGACCTTTTTGGGCACATTGCTAACAATGAGACTGGTAGTCCACATTATTAACCCCTCCCCCCCCCAGTACACGAAGTTAACCTGTATTAGAACGAGATAAACACTATTCTATGCTCTAGAAGAGTCATCTAGGTTGAAACATTGTGTTATTTTAAAACAAGCTGTTACTCGTATTTTAACACATTTCTTTATTCTAAAATAATAACAGTTGGAACAGGTTTGCCTGTTTCAAACTACCTCTAGAGGGGGGAAAGGGATTGTTAGTAATAGAGACTAAAAATCCCATTGCTAACAATATACCCAACCAGGTCGACCTCCTCGCGGTTCTCCTTGGAAACTATCATGGTTAATTCCTGATGAATTCATCATGATGGGCTAACTGGCCTGTTTTCATTTTCATCGATCACCCTTCACTGGTGCTCCGCCAGCGTATCCCGTTAGCGCAGGCGGGATTTCCATTCCATTTTCATCCACCAAAAAAAAAACTACCTCTAGAAGGTTATATTATGATACTCTAGACTGGAGGCGAGGGCGATATCCTATGAGAGTATTAAAAACAATTAAACAGGTACTTTTTTTACGTCTTAGGTTGCATGTACAAAGAACGATTAAGTTGAAACTGAAGTCTGTTTGGGTAACTCCGTCCTATTCGTGTCTCTGTTGTGAACCAGTTGTTTTTGCATGGCTGTGTTTCGATTTGAAGAGTACCACCTTTATCCTAATATGGTAGTAAATTTACAGGGTACTGGGTATATAGTCCTTAGGAATGGCAAAGCATGAAAGGTATCATGGGCGATACGGTATACTCGGTATACGGTATATATTTGTGGTACTGTTTATGTCTATACGAGAAGGTTACCACTTTCCACCAGGTGGGCCGTCAGCTTGTTTGCCATTCTAAGTCGTATAAAAAAAAGAATTCAGCACGATCGTTTCTACCATGTGGAGACCATGTGGAGGTCGACCTTATAGGGTATATTGCTAGTAATAGAACTGACAGTCCGTACTACTAACAAATTCTTAACGATAAAGGAAGGGATGGTCCATTCTATGCCGGGATCACACGGCACACATATTACGATTAGTTTACAGTCAACGCCTTACTGTCCGACTTGACCCATTGAAACTGCGCAGAGATGTTGCGTCTCTGTGCATCTTCTACCGAATTTATCATGGGGAGTGTTCTGAGGAATTGTTCGGATTGATACCTGCTGCTGATTTTCACCACCGTACAACCCGCCACAAACTAAAGTTTCATCCCAATCATCTGGACGAGTGGCGGTCTTCCACCGTGCGTTTTTCAAGGCACTTTCTTCCACGCACAACCATTCTTTGGAATCAACTTCCAGCAGCAGTATTTCCGAACCGATACGACAACATAACCTTCAAGAAAAGAGTATATTCCTTTTTAAAAGGCCGGCAGCACACCTGCAATGCCGCTGGTGTTGTGGGTGATCATGGGCGGCGGTAGTCACTTACCATCAGGTGAGCCGCATGCTCGTTTGCCCCCTGTGTTGTAAAAAAAAAAAAAAAAAAAAAAAAAACATGCATGGGCGTATTTTAGAATATTTCCTAGGTGGTAGTCTCATAAAAGGTGCATATGTACTTTGAGACATGTCTTTGCGACCTTTGCTTGCATCTTAGGGTGAGTAATAAACAATTTTTGAGTTGGGAACGGTCAACCTTGCTTTCCTTTCTAAATACGCCTATATTTACATGAGCTCTATTATTATTATGTAAGAACTAATATAGCGTGAGAATTGATAATTTGCTAATTTATTTTTATGTAAATATTCACTTTCGTTTATTTAATCAGCTGAAAAATTGCAACTGTAACATTTGTATTGTGAATCGTGAACGCAACTTTTAAAGCGACCAGTGTATGGTGAACTTTTTAGTTCGTAAGTGTTACTATTGCATTATATGAACACAAGGGTGAGTGGGCTGGCGGTGGCAGGTCTTTACTCGGTAGATTGCACCAGTTAATATCACGGATTAACATTTACACATGCGGCCAGCGGTGGGCAGAGACTGTCGCGAGAGGACAAGTGACCGTGCAGTCGTATTTCGCGCACCGACCGGCCTCCGCGTACCCGAACGAACGCACGCTCACAACGTAACACACGCTGCCCGCCAACTATTCAAATTTTGAACTGTCACGTTCGAAATCAGTTCGATAAATTATTTTTCTTAATTGTTATCCGTGTGCACTCGCGCGGAAAGTGTCCAAAACGCTCGCGACACTAGCCAGTGTCCGGATTGCATCGGGGCCGTTGACATCGACTCAGTGATACGGGACTCGATCTATCAGAATTTTGAATTAATTTTCGAACATGTCGCATATTGGCGGGAAGTGTGTGTTGTGTTGATGAAGTCTTATTTAACTGCAGTGAAGGTGATACCAGGTGTTAACACCCATTAGTGATAGCTGGAACGATGGTGGATTCGACATAATATTATTTAATGTTTTGTCAGACTGCAACTGAAGTCATTTGAGAATTATTGAAGGTAAGTGGCACGGTCCAATTTTTGCATAATTACACTTTTAAAGTTACACAATGATTAAGTTATTTTTCGCTTTCTAAATATTCGACCATGAGTGTTGCTAGAGTCACGATTAATCTGATTAACTTTTTACACTGAGAAAATTTTATCGGTTAATTATTGACCAGTGTTGGTTTGTTCATTGAACACCTTAAACTGGTGCACAAGAACTCGTTTTATGAAAGTAAATCCGTGTAAAACTGCGGACAGTTGTGCCTATCTACTTACATTGCAGTTACGACATTTCACTCTATCTGCAACTAAAAGAAATTTCATTTCATCTAATTGTCATTAATTATGCAATTTACGTTAGATTAAGTGTAATCTTTAGTGTTTAGATTAAAATGTAATGTGGTGAGTAGTATTGAGCCAGTGAAATGCTCGGTTATTTCATTTAAGAATAATGACGTTATCATAATGTTAGAAACGTTAAATTACATCACAGTAATTTTCACTTTCTTTGAAAAACGGAATTGAATGTAATAAAATTGTCTATTAATTTTTCGAGCTTGAAACTATTAAAAATATAAGAAAATAATACTTGGTATAGATATTAGAGTTTTATAACTTGACCAAAGTCGTGTCTGTGTTTCATAAATCAAAAGTTTAGATGAGAGAAAAGTTAAACTTTGTGTATTTGGTGGGATACATTCTTAAGTAAATTTTTACGATAAGATTTTTTATTTATATTTTACCATAAAACCAAAATAACAAGCAGATATACCGAAAATCACAGATGCTTGTCTGGAATGCCATATATTCTGCTTATTTTGTATAATAATATTAATAAATAAAAACAATTAATTATAATTAAAACTAGCGTCTAATCCCAGAATATTATGTACTATAAGTACCTATATTCCATTTGGTCAAGAGTTCCCGAAACTAGCGTGACAGGAAATTGTATGAAGCAAGAGGTACATATAAAGATTTTGACACTTTGTTCTCTTTGCATTTCCTTTGTAAGGAACTTGGCAGAAGATAAATTAATATATGAATAATAAATATAATAATAATTTAGATTTTAAAATTACTTTTATTAAAATAATAAAATATGTTTACAAAGCGCTGACCACTAGCATTTATATAACCTTGAGATCGAAATAGTACAAGTATTATGACTGAATTTCCCTTTTTTTCCAAGTTACTTCATTAAACGTCCTTGTCTGAGTTCGGCCTAAAATAGTTTATTATTGACTAATAGATGTTACTGATAACAGAAATAGATTCTTGTTGAAATACGAGATTCTGTTATATTAAATATGTATTTATAAAATATACTTAATATAATGAAACACACGGCTTATATAAAAGCCGTATAGGTTCTGGCATAGAATAGGCCACCACTTCCTTTCCTGTGAATCGAAAAGGCAACCAAGGGAGCTTATGTTGGAGGGATGGGCAGCAGCGTTCTTTTTAAAATATCACCTAAAGCCAAACTGCAGCTGCCAAGCCGCTTGCCAAGCGTGGAAACTACCTACGAAAATTCCTTTTACGGGGGAGGCTATGTTCAGCATTGGATAGTTAACGACTGATACAGCATATATATATAAAGTCACTTTTACTGCTAATTCTAACTCTTTTTTTATTTACCCTTCAGTACAAAAAATACGTGCATTTTTGACTATACGTCGACATCTCTCTCGATAAATATAATAATTTTAATAAATATTTCTGTCAGTTTCATATGAGATTACAGTTGCAAGCATATTTTTTTTTTGGTATTTTTAAACATCTGTAAGAAATTTCGCATTTCTATAAGTCATAGAATTTACTCCATAATTAACGTGAGTAAACTTTTTGGAAAATAACAATTTAAGATCGTGTTACAAAAAAAAAGTTGAAATTATGACAAAACCAATTTTTTTATTTCCAATTAAACCATTGACCCGATTTTGATAGTTTCCATTACACCAATCTGTAAGAATCCTCATCTTTCAGATAAAAAAAAAACCAAATCAAGGTTTATAACTAACAGAGTTATGAAGTAACGAACATAAGACAATACAACCGAATTGAGACTTTCCTTCTTTTAGAAGTCAATTGAAAATCAGTTTATTATAATCATTTAAAACACACGCAGCAACAAAAAGAAAATCTAACGAATTGGGAGCATCTTTCGTTTTTAATAAAAAAAAAATAAAAAAAAATATCATTTACTTTTCTACCTATGCCGACGATTTGAGCAAATTACACGGTGTAATACGAAATAATCTAGTCCACTTTTGTCGAAAACCACACAGCCATAAAGAAATAACCAAAGACAGATAATGCCGGTGTTGCCTCAAAGTATTGTTGATGTGTGGCTTTTGGTATAATATCATAATTTAACGTAAACCTTTCATAACGTACGGTTACCATAGATACGTAATATTAAGGTTCTGTGAGGCTTACGACTTTCTATTTTTAACTGTACAATTTTAGCCTATATCTATCTACTTTTAGATGTAGCCCTTCCCAATGTCTTCTGGCATGTGCGATCCTCTATTATTCACACTTGGGGTCATAAATTATCGGTCCTTTTCATTGGGGAGTTCATACGTATAAGTTACTACGTCCAGCAAGTTGATTTGTGACTGTGGAATTTGAATGAATGAATGAATGAATAAAAATGTATTTCAATAAAACCATAACATTTACATATACTTAGATTATAAGTAATAACAAATTTAAAAAAAAAATTTTGAAGAATTTCTGGAAGGATTTTTGTAAGTTACAGGATTTTGGGAGAATGGAGAAGTTGTAACTATATGGAAGGGTGTAAGTCACGACAGTGAAAGCTGTGATCTCTGAGGTTAGGTTGAGGTGAGGTTGCAATATTAAAATTCATAAATAGACAATAGCGAACCTTATTTGGCTAATAGCCTGTTATAAGTGCAAGTTGCGTTCAGCCTTCGTATCGATTCGATCGAGTGAGATAGAAAGTAAATTCGTGCACGTTGTCGCGCTACCGGCTGTGTGCGCGTGCGCACTGCAGTGCGCTGTTCAATTCCTTTTACAATAGCTAAAGTTTGCTTTAAACAAATATACAGCATTATTGTACGATAACCTCCGTGGCATAGTAGTGAGCATATTGACTTGCGTAAATGGGGTCCCGGGTTCGATTTTCAGTCGAGACAATTTAGGAAATGATTTTTTTTGGATTAGGGTCTGTGTGTACTTAACACAACTTGTATAACAATCCTAGCTTGAGGATAAGTCCATTGGTGTCATTGCGGATCATTTGTTATTTTAATTAAGTTTTAATTATATTATATATATATAAGTACATTTCTATGCGTCTTAGTATGGCAAACAAGCTGATAGGCGATCTGATGGAAAGTGGTAACCATCGCCTTAAAACACGAGTATTACCATGGACATAACAGAGTATACTGTTTCGCCCATGATACCCCGTATGCGTTGCTATGTTATTTTGCATTTTGGTTTATAACAAAATTAAGATAAGAAAAAGATAGTAGAAATGATTATATATCCGTATCTTCTCAAAAGTGGCACGGATATATTTTAAAAAAGTAGACAAATTGAGAGCTGACTTTCTTAGAGTCTAGTAAAAATATAAAAAAATAAAAATGTTAATTTATTTAGTTACAAATTGCAGTGAAAATATTCTTCAATTTCTCTCACGATTCTCGATAGCAACTAATATGAATGGCATGTCAATTGAAATCTATACTAATACTAATATAATAATATTAATATAATAATATTAATATTATTATAAAGAGGAAAGATTTGTTTGTTTGTTTGTAATTGATAAACTCAAAAACTAGTCAACCGATTTTAAAAATTCCTTCACCTATAGAAAGCTATTTTATCACGTGTAATACGAGAAGTATTATTAGTTATTTTTAGAAAATTAAAGATTTTTTATCTATTTACTGTGTAAAGCTGAGGCAAATTACTAGTAAGTAGTAAAATGAGTGGACCCAAATTAAAAAAAAAAAACATTTATGTCTATCTGTCTTAGAGTATTAACTTAAAAACTGGTTAAGGTATATTGTATTAAGACCAGAATCGTTATAAATTGTATATTATTTTCGAAAATTCTGCTTACCCGTGTGAAGCTAGAATAAATTTAGAGTATCAGGAATGGTATCCATGAGGGGCATCTTGGGCGACACAGTATAGAGTATACTCTGTTATGTCTATAACACATGTCTATAGGCGACGGTTTCCATTTCCCATTAACTGGACCGCCAGCTTGTTTGCTATTGTAACTTGCATAAAAAACATTTATCTGATTTTAAAAATTATTTCATTTATAGAAGAAAGCTAGATTATCAGAGATAAAATTGTATTTTAATAAAAAGAAAACCGCGCGAAGCCAGAACGGATTACTAGTTTCAAATAAAAGAAATTATACGTCAGCCATGTTTGGCTGACAGTTTGAACTGTTATTTTTCTTGTTTAATACATGGACATGATCTAAAAATAGACAAAAATAAATTTGCTAGCATTAAAAATTGTTACTAATATAATATTATAAATGTGAAAGTGAGTTTGTTTATTTCTTACTTGTTAGCAACTTAATGGCTTAACGAATTATTATGAAATTTGGTATATAGATATAACATGACCAGAAGTCTCATTTTGAACGGGAACTGTCCCTTTTTATAATTACGAGTCCCGCTGTCTTCGAAACTTGGAACAAAAATATGTCCCGTTTTCGGAAACCGCGCGAAAATTTAAGTAGACTTTTTAGTCTACGACGAAGTTGATAATTAAGGTGAATATAAAAAAAATGTCAAGAGTTTCATTATTACTTAAAATCTTCACCAGCTATATTAAAGCAAATTTGTTTCTTTGATAAATATAAATATTCAATTTATATTTTTTAAATCGTAACTTTTAAGCTAACTTTTTCTGAATAAATAACTTTAAAAAAGTATTTTATTTTTTCATTGAGTACCTGTTAATTGACTTAAATAAACCATTGTCACGTTTTGAGTCAAAGAATATAT